CTCCTCTGACAATGAAGAGGCCAGTTCTAATTATCGAGCAAACCCATATGAAGAGCAGGAAGACAAAAGATTCGGTCATGGACCACCAAGGAATGCTAAAAACATGGAGCAGCTTAGTCTTTGAGCAGCAAAATTGCCAATTTTCCATAAATCCAGTGACAAATCTAAAAAGGTCTCTCTTACACCTTTTCTAAAATTGTTTTGATTAAAATAATGTTGGACTCCATTTGTGTTTCCATGTTGATATAAGTGCTCACATTGGAGAGATAACAACCTTTTGGCATTAGTGAAATCAAATTATGTAGTTGTACCATCTAGTTTTCAAGTTTTCAGTACCTAATTAACAGGCACTTATCTTGAGAAACTGAAGTAATCTGCTTTTCTTTTTCCTGTAACAAAACTGAAGTCTCTTGTTACTGTTGCATTTCATTTCTTAATTTTCCGAAGTTTTCAGTAACTAGAACTTTCATTTTTGGCAAATTGAAGCAGAATTGATGTGTCTGTCTTAAGATGTTCATCTGACATTTCATCTCATAGATTTTGTAGGTTGTTTGTTGTTACATCAGTCTTGAGATATCATAGTTTTCCCTTTCGACCAATTGATGTATAGATTATTCATTAGTTGGTGCAGTGAACATTATGCATGATACAAGATCTTAAATCTTTTGAGAAAGTAGATTCATCTGAAAATTACATTAGCACAATACAGTGATAATGTGATAGGTAAAATAAAAAAATGGAAAACTACCTTTGCTTATGTGGTTCTTAGATTTAGAGTAAAAGGGTCAACTGAGTGTTACATTCAAGCATTACTTCATCTACCTAGGTGTTGCAAGCAATTATGGATGAGTTGGCCTTGACAGGCTTTCCGGAGAATATGAATACATAGAGTTAGTTCTTGTGAAATGATTAGACAACCCAAGTGCACAGAAATGCTTTCGTTCTTCCATAGCATTGGAAAAAAGTTCAACTTATGCAACAAATGCTGCTCTGGTAAATAACCACCGAAAGGAAATTTTAATGTCCCTATGGTGTTATCGTTAATCCTCCATGCTTTTATCTTATTGATAAAAACTTAAAAATACGTTGGAAAGGGTTGGAGCTTCTAATCCAACTTGGACTAAAAATGATGTTTGTGGCTACTGAGATGTTTCGAAAGGAAGAAAGCAGGCTGCAACAAGTAGGTTAATCATTGGGATATATCAAATGCTGCATGGATAGCCGCCCAGTTGTTGCTTAGAGCTCCTAGTCTTGTTAATTTCCACTTTTATCATGTGTTCAACTTAGAGCCGATAAATTTGACTTGAAAATTCCATCCGAATCCAATCCTGATCTAATCTGAGTTGATGAGGAAAAAATAATATTTGAGCTCATTCAGGGAAAATTTTAAATATAATGAAGTTCAAGAATTTTCTTATTAAAATTGATTTAATAAAAAATTTAAATCGATAAATTAATATTCAATAAAAATCTTAATAATATATAAAAGAATTGTGACATAATAATTGTGAGGAAAATCAATTATGACATAATAAGCCCTAGTAATACTAGAATCCTTGGCAAGCAAGAAAGCCATTACTCTCATTGCTGACAGTAAAACAAATAACAGTCAAGAAAACCAGTTTACAGTTATGAAGAAGATACAGACAAACAATACCAGTCTAAGATGATATGAACACAATCATATAGTAATTTTTAAAAAATAAAGATATAGATATATTAAGATACGGTAATAAATTTATATATATATATATATATTATAATCATTAATTAAAAATATATAATAGATTTTGAGCTAATTTTTAAAAGGTAATTACTTTTGCATAAAAAAAGGATGGTAAACACAATAATAAAAGAAAATAAAGTGTTAATACCTACACATTGATTCTTTATTTATTTATTTATTTTGTTATATCCGGCCAAATTTAATACTATTTCAATGTATCAAAAACGTCAAAGTATTTAACACAAATACGATAAGGATATAGATGGGTCATAGGTTTACCGATTATCAATATTTTAGCATGGTTGGAATGTCAACTAGTACTATTGGAACTTGAGATTTTCCTAAGTATTCCACAACACTCTTGAATCAATCTTAGTTACAGAAGACATGGGTTCAATTTTAGAAGTGTCAAATGGGTTAGATAGTTTATGTTATGATATAATTGGTACGATATTGATCATAATTGACACAATTTATTGTTATAATAATGTGTCATGCTAAGCACAATTCATATATTTGTATTGTATTGAGTTAGAGATTTAGGTTTATTAGATTGACACAACATAACCCATCAAGCGTTAATACCAGCATTGGACATATGGATTGGCATGGTATGACATACAATAATTAATATGTCAAGTTGTGCAAGTTCATAAATAATATAAATGAGTTTAGTATGTTAATCTTTACTTGTATTTTATGTTACTCTTATCATGCAATGGACATTCTTTTATCCTTTTAATACTTTATATTAGCAATTTATAAAAATTAAAATTTATTAATAAATTTACTTATAAAATATTTAAACTATTAATAGATAAAAATTAAAATTTTTTTCATTTTGAATTATTATTTTTTAAAAACAAGAACTATAAAATGTAATTATTTAAAAATTGATTATGAAAAAACCAAAAAAAAAAAAAAAACACATAATATAAATGAACCGTCATATGGTGAAAATGAAATGTAAAATAATAATGTGATATCTATTTTTTTTAATTTAAAGAAGTGATATTAGTATTAGTTAATTTTAACATATTTGATGAATTTTTTTACCCTTTATTTGTAAATATAGATATTTTACCGAATTATATAAATTATATGCCTCATGTATTAATTTCATATATTAATTTTTAAAGATAGTTGAAAAACAAAAAAAAAAAATTCCTCAAAAAAATAATACAAAAATTAAGAAACTATTAATCGGTCTATGACTAAAAGAATAGTGCCATTTTAGATGCGACTTGACCCATAAAGGCTAAAAGTCATATGTTGTGTTGGAGTATACTTTTAGTATTTATGAGTCATATCAACCCAGCACGTTAAATAATAATGTTGGCTGACATAACCCATTGTACACATGGGCTATTTTTTTTAATGAATTGTACTAGCCTAACACGATTCATTTGACACTTTTACTTAGTCTAAATTCAAGCATCATAATGAATCAAATTTACTTTAACTTACAAATTAAGATTTATGGAACTCATATAAAAGAATGTCAACTAGGAAGTACTGGTGAGATATTGACTCAAATCTCAAAATATTTGGTGAAAGATTTTTTTAAAAAATTAATTAGATATGACTTAATTGAGAGGAAGACCTATAATCGAAGAATTTTATAAGAAAGAAATTTTTGGTGAGTAAATTAATAGTCTTATAAACAATGAGAGTCTCAATAAAATTAAGTATAAGATAAAGACGTAAAAAAATTATAAGATTTTATCGAGATAAAAACACAGAAGACTAAAAAAGATTGAGAGAATACTTATAGATGTGTATATTTGAATGTTTAATGTGTGATACTCCAAAGGACTAGATGAAAAAAAGAGGATCCATGAGTATGATAATTCTTATGTTGTGAATAAATTAGATAAGAACAAAAGGATCCACAAAAATATGTATGTGTTTTATTTAGGATAGTTAGAGATTAATTTGGAAACATTAAATATCAATTTGGGATGGTTAAAGATCGGTTTGGGATTAAGATTATATGATTGTAATTTTTTATAATTAATTAATTTTTTCTCATTCATGATGGTAAACAAATTAAATGTCAAATTATATTGTTAACTTTTATGTAAATAATTTTTTATTTGATTTCCTTTCTCTAACTTAAATATTTAATTTATTAGGATTTTTTTTTTTTCATATCAGAGGAGATCTAACAAGAACAATATGAGATAGAATTATTACACAATAAAATGAAAAAAAAAAAAAAAACACTTGATTTCTGTTTCCTAGGTGATGTGTTAGGTCAAATCCACAGCTGGAAATGTTAAATGGGTTGTAATGATAACTATCCCACTGCCTACTAAAGGTGCAAAAATATGGTGGGTATCTTTTTTCCCTTTCTTCATTGATGAGGTTCCTCTTTTATTAAAGAGCTGCTCCAGTTATGCTCTAGAGTCCAGCAACATGGGGATGCATTCAATCCTTTGGCTTTCATATTCTTCTCTTCTTCCTTATTCTCGGCCTTGTTCCATCCAATAGTTAACACAATACGAATAACTAGGGAAAAGGGAGATAGGATATATTTAATCATGTATAATGGAGTCAATAAATTTGTTTGGAAAAATTATAACTCAAATTTAAAATTGAATGCAAGCAAATTTATTCATTTTGAATGATATTAATTATTAGTTTGCACATTATTAAGGTATATAATAAATTGTAATTAATGGCCATTCATTAATAATCAAAGCATGCCTTAAAAATTACAAATGTAAAAGAATTTAAACTTGTAATTTTCTCTTCAGGTGAATTAAATAAATAAAGATTAGAGAGTTAAAAAAGTGATATTGCATGATCATATATATATATATATATAATACAACCATATAAATGCTCTTATTGAATTTAAAATTTTCATCATCTATATATAAAAATAATTTTTTTTTTTGTAAAAGATTAAAGAAACCCACTTGTGAATATTTTCTCGTGGAGCGTATGTAGTTTACATGATTTCCAAATGATTCTTTGAACATTGCAAAATAAAAGTAGGGACAAGATTCTAGCCCCATAAAAAAGGTTAAAAAGATGTCATATATTGAAGATGAGCAAGGTTTACACATATATTATGTGTATTTTGATAATTATTTGGTTTGCCATTTATGTAGAAGAATATAAATTTGACTTGAAAATGAAGAAAAAAAAATCAGTGATAAAATGTCAATTTAAAACTTTAAAAGGCAAAATTATAATTTATTTAACATTTAATCAGAAAATTTTTTTTTGAAGGAGGTCCCACTCTTTAATGCATTTCCAAGCAAAATGGGATAATTTTGTTGGAAACATAAATATATGTAAGCTTATGTTGTTTCCATGTCCTAGGCCTCATCCATCACCTCTTCAACAACCCAAAAAGTATTAATTTCTATCCATGTGAAAGAGCAAAATCAGACCAACAAAGCTCCAAACTTACTCAGAAACACCCAAATCCAAAACCAAAAAATGCCCATACTCAAATTCCTGTTCACCACCCTCTCTCTATCCCTTATTTTCTTCCATACCTGTGATTCTGTTTCAATTTTAGACCTTGACAATGCACTGAAAAACAGAGAAGTTGATGTCATGGTGAGAAGGGTTTGCACCAAAAAGCTTGAAGATTGTTTAGAAGAGCAAGAAATGGAGTCAGAGAGCAGCAGGAGAGTGCTGGTGATACAAAGGAGGTACATTAGCTATGAGACACTGAGGAGGGACATGGTCCCATGTGCAAAGCCTGGTGCTTCTTACTATGATTGCAATGCTGGTCAGGCAAATCCTTACAACCGAGGTTGTGAGGTTATTACGAGATGTGCTAGAGGTATTAAAGATATCAAAACCTGAAACCCCAAAATTGAAGTTTTACCCATGATAACTGCTTTGTGAAAAGTGGTAATGTCTTGGTTGTGGGTTTCTAAGATTTTTGTTGTCTTTCTGGGTTTTTTCTTTTTTTGGTTTATGGCTGTATATCAAAGATTCTTACTTTTAATTTGGCATTTGCTACATATAAATGCATGTTTAACTTGAATTTGGAGATCCTGGGACTTCCTTGTTAGAGTACTTAAGAAAATTTACTTGGTGCTTGATGAGGAAATTATGAATAATGCAGGTAATCTTCATTTTTTGTTTTCTTGGTTTCTGAAAATCTATCCTGTAAGAGTTGTTCCTGGCTTTTAACATAAGCAAAGAAATTTTTCTAGATTTCAAAATCTTGCTTGTCAAGATGTTTTACATTTGAATCAGCTATTTTGATTTCCATAATACCCCCAATGAGAACCAAAAATTGTGATTTTCTGCATTATTTTTTAACTTTTTCTGCTGAATAAAAAAGTGTACCCAGTGGAGAACAGAAGGAAAAAGTTAATTTACAATTAAGTCTGCTCTGTCCTTTTCTAATTATCAAATCAGCTTCAATTAAATCCAGGCACCTCCAGTCTATCCTACTCAATAGACTGAAGAGACTTCATGCATACCTTTGAAAAAACTGCCCTGGATACCCCACATAAGATTGAATTCATTAATTCGACTGAATGGCTTGCTGTTGTAGGCTTGTAGCATGTTTCTGCTATAGTGCTTAGCTTAGATCAATTAAAGTTCTTTATTCATTCAACTAGACATCTCAATCATACCTTGCTGTGAAGGGATCATTGTAATTTTCTCATTATCTGATCGTGCATAAAATCTCATTAAAATACTAAATAGGTGATTAAATATATAGGATACCTGCCTCTAGTTCTATTCTATCTAGCCTTGTGGTCCATTCTGTTTTCCCCTATGCCCCAACAAAAATGCAGGATTTTTCTTTCTGCCTCGAGTTAAAACTAGCTATTCGATTAGAGGAATTTCATTCCATTTTAATTTTATGTGTTTGAAAAATTTTCTATTAGCTTTGATCATCACATGGTGGTAGTGAAATTAAGAGCTCATATAGGTTTTTATTCCCTGTTGTTTTATCACACTCATTGTTGCTTGTTGCTGGTTTCTTTTCTTGCTTTTTTTCATTCATTTAATTGAATTTGATAACGGATCCCTTTGGACAGTCTTCCTTCAATTTTGTCGAATGTAAGTCATTGAACTGATTCTTCTCCAACATTGACACATGATCATAATTGTTTGTAGACCATATAGTTACAAAAGATGTTCTTATCAGCTAAATCTTAACTATATGTGCTACAAGACGGATGGATTTAGAAATGGGAAGTAAAGAATTTTACGGATTTCAAGTTTATGACATGTTGTAACTGACCACTAGGAATAAGGTTGGTTATTCCTAATATTGAACTCCCTGCAGTATGAACCCGGAGCTTAGCTCATTTGGTTCATGCAATCATCTTTTACAGTTGGCATCCAGCAAGTTTGGGGTTCAAATCCCACTACTTGCAACCCTTTCTTTTATTTCCAGGCTATGGCCTGCTTTGTACCCAAAAAAAAAAAAAACTCCTTGCTGTATTTTCTTTTCCAAACAATAGTGGGAAAAAAATCTTTGCAGCAGTTGAAAATCAGTTTTGTTTTCTTTGTGGATTATTATTATCGGCATTGCAAATCAAGATATTAAGTTGATCAGGAAAATCATGGCTGTCATTAAACTTAAGTTTTTCTAGAATAATGTCACTGTCTTCAGTTGTTTGTCAACTTTCAAACCCTTTCTTGTTTTACCAAAGTATTGATCAGTTCTTAAACCAGCATTTCATTTTATCTTTCTTTTGATTTATAAACTGCTATAAATAACTACATTAGAAATTGTTTTCATAAACCATTTGTGAAAATGCAAATCAGCAAATCAGCAAGCCAAAGGTTAACAGGTTTGCCCATCGACCTACTCTATGGAGTGCACTATCTATTTTTTATACTTGAGGTTGTCGGAATTTGAAATTTGGTCACAGAAAATCGTATCAAAATCATTTATAAATTGGCGATTTATAGGTATGTACTCTCATCCTAGGTGAACAAACTAAGAACAATCCATAGACCACAAGCCAAGAAAGAGTAAACAACGAAAGGAAACAAAGGAGTCCAGAAAACAATGCAAGAAAAGAACAATAACTAGAAGACGAAGTTAAAAGAGAAGAAGACATAACTGTTTAAATGACTCTAGGAGGGCCTCATCTCAGCATGTCAGCATTCATGGTGAGGAGTGTTAAGACATGGTACGCCAGGCCAGGTGGGACAACAGCCCATTTAATTGGACATGTCCCCTTCAACTGCCTGCACTGTCTTCCTTTTTCCCTTGTTTACTTTTCTGCCTTTTGGTGCGGTGAGATTGGGTGAGTGGTAAAAGTGTGCTTCGAAATAATGATATACATATAAAAATAGAATTAGAAGGTAAAATGATTTAAAATTTTAATAATAATTATATGAGTTTAATAAAATTTAAAAATATATATTTTATATTTTTATCTTGATATTAATTATGATACATAATTTTATATAAAATATAATATAAATATATAAATTTTAATAATTTATATGATACAAATATACGAATCATCAATTCTATGTGTTTTTTTCTTTGTTACTTAAGTTTAAATCCGATAAAAAAGTTGTAATCTATAAAAAAACATGTTTTTATGAACTCGTTATATTAATATACGTAGGTGACTGATTTAGATAGGAGTGCATTAGACAAAGCCCATACCCCCTCTCGGCTAAATTAAAAAAAAATGCGACAAATAATTTTGGGTTGGTTGCCTACATCCCTGTAACTAGCACCCATTCGGCTGGTTGTCCACATGGTCTTGGGCGTAATCTATCCTCGTGGTCTTCTGATAAAGCAAACTGTTTGTTGAGGATCCTGAGTTTAACCAAAACCCAATTCATGACTCGAGCATTATCAAGCTCGCAACTTTGGTTTGGAGCACAAAACTGTTCATGGCAAACTACAACTAATATCTTCCATGATAACAATGGCAATTCGGGACAGTAAAAAACTACAGCCTATACGTAGTACAGCAAGTTAAACCTTAGAAACATAGATGGAAGACTGGTTTAGGGACAAAGGGAGATAGGACTTCCAAAATATATGCCTTATAAGCAACCTCAAATGAAGTTATAATGAGACCATAATGACTGTAAAAGGAAGGCACACTGAAGCCTCTCAACCATGAACGTTAAATGGGTATTAGTTCATTTGCACCCTTTATCCTCCTCATTATCTCCGTCTTAGTTCTTTTTCGCTGGGAAAATCTTAAATTACTAAAGAGAAAGGGGTTAGTGCTTCCATCTCATATTCATTTCAAAGCCCAAGCATGTCAGCATTTTTATTAGCTCATTGGTTCTTTGATGGAGAGAATAGGCTGCCCAGTAAAGGTGGGGCCAAGGTGCACTGAATTTTGGCATGATTGGAGGTCCAGACAGGAGACCTGCCAGATGCCAACAAACCTTATTTTTTATAGATCCATTTAGGAGGCCGGTTATAGGGATTTTATCGTATCAAAAGATACGTTTTTAATATTCAACTATAGAAAATATTTTTGAAAAATATTTATATTTTTCGAAAAAAATGGAGATTTTTTATTGTTTAAATTAGTTAACGAAAATACTTTTTCTTATTTAGTTATTTTTTGAAAAATCTGTTTTTTTTTTCAAATAATGTTAATGTAACTATTAAAATATTAAAAATTATTTATTATTAAAGTATATTGAAATTATTTATTATTAAAATTATTAATTTTCAAGAATAATTATATTTTAATAATAATATTTAATATATTAAAATATTATACTAATATAAAATACTTAAAATAAAATTATTTGTTATTCTTTATATTAATATTTTAAAATATTTAAAATAGTATTATTATTCTTAAAATATTATTTTTATTAATTTAAAATAGCAATATTTATTATTAAAGTTTTTATACTATTAAAATATTTATATTTTATATTGAAAGTATCTATTATTAAATCATAACCAAAATATTTTTTATTTATATTTATTTGTAAAATATCGATATAAATAATTTAATAAATAAAATAAAAATTATATATTTTAAAGTAAAAAATGATTAAAAAATATTAAAAATACGTATAAAGAAAATAATATTATTATATTATGTAGCATTATTTATTAAAATAATTAAAATATTATTATATATGTTATGTTTTTATTATTAAAACAATAATATAATACTATTTATTATTGAAATACTAAAAATATTTATGTTTAATAATATATAAAATTAAAATATTTAAAATTAAAATATCAAAAGACTTTTAATTTTAATATTTAATATTTTAAATAAAATTAAATAAAATATTTTATTAATATAATAATATTTTAAGTTAATCAAATCAAGTTTGAGTTTAAAATATTATGTTTAGAATCTTATTTAACTAAAATTATAAAAAAAATATTTAAAATTAAAATATTAAAATAATTTTAATATTAATATTTTAACTTTTTAAGTAAAATTAAATAAAATATTATTTATTAATATAATAATATTTTAAATCGAATCGAATTAAATTTAAATTTAAAAAATCACGTATGAAATTTAAATAAAATTATATTCAAATATATTAATAAATAATTTTATTCATAAATATTTTTTAAAAAAATTATTTTTTTCAAAAGAGTAAAATAATTTTTTAAAAAGTAACATTATTTTCTATTCATCAATAATTTAATTTTTGTTAATCAAATAATTTTTTATCAAATAAATACTTAAAAATATAAAAATTATTTTCTATGAAACAAATAAAGTCTATATACATACTTCACAGTATGAATCAAAAAATGCATCTTGTGATGAGAAATTTTCAATCGAACTCTGTAAGTCATGTAAAAGGACGACGACACTCCTCTTTTCCTTCCATTTTCCTTGAGAAAACAAAGAAAATTTAACCCACTAATATTTCATTTTTTTTTCTTAATAGCTGCAATCAAATCTTCCTTTTCAACTTCAATAATGCGCAAGCGACAACAGGCGAAGAAAATATGGCTATTGTCGCAAAACATGTACTACTATTAAAATTATCCATCGGGAAAAGTCTTCGTTTTATATGGATTACGAACAGACAGCCACCAAC